TAAGGTTTATATTAAAAATGTACGACCTCTGTTCTACATGAACCATCCTATGTTGCTGAATAATAATTATTTTAACAAACATTACAAGCTATTTTAGATATTATATTCCTATGAAACTTAAAATATTTATTTATAGGTTTTAATATCTAGTCACATTTTTCAGTGCGTAAATGTAGAGGGATAAGAATGTTAAATGATAATGAAATTAATTTTCTTACGCTTTGGAGAAGGACCCCATTTTCCTTCCTGAATTATGTGCCTTAATCTAATGCTTCAATCGTTCTTTTGCTAAGATTTCGGAACTGCTTGAAATGTTCATCATTACTCAAATCCTTTTCACGTTTAATGTGCAAGCAGGAATGACGTTTGTTTGCGATCAGCTCATTTTTCTTTTCTTTTGCTGCTGGGTATTCAACTCTCATTGTTATTCATTCTTACTTTGCATGCACAAATGCTCTCGGTTAAACATATGCGGAAGTTAATACTTAGTCGCATCTTCGGCGAATGTCACAGTCGAAGTCTTACGCGATTACGGTATTTCTTTACAAGGTGCACAGTAATTTTATTGGAGTTGTTCTGTCCTTGTATCTAAAGATCTGGCGTGCTAAATGTCATATTATATCGTAAATGATTAAAAGAGAAATCTTAAGAACGCAAACGTTTGACATTTACATTTGACAAATGTTTGAATTTGTGTAAGCTATTTGACACTTACTTGAAGCTTCTGATATAATTAAATGTCGACGCTTAGGTTAGTTAATTTTTCACTCGTTGAAACAATATTTTTCATACTATAATTACATAAAGCTGTGAATCTAATATACATACATGTATATATGGAATTATTATATTTTTATATAAAATTATTTTGTGTTCCTTTATACATACATATATGTATTGTAAAATAATGTAACAAACTTAAATCAAATCTGTCTTTTATGAAGCGAGAGTTTAAAACTCCAGACCTCAGGAATCTATATTTTATTTTAATTGCTTCCCTTTTAAGATAACAAATAGTAGCTAATTTTGCAGTTTGTTATTTTATCAATTTGCTTGAAAAACCTTTTGTTAAAGATTCAGAGGCATTTTGCAATTAATACGCTTTGGTATGTAATGATTAATTCTGAATTAGTTAGAGCAACTTGCCAAGTGGATCAGTTGGTCTGTCGATTGCGAAAATAAAGTTTTCTGGCTTTACAAAGGCTAATTAGTGTGCTAATTTCTAGCTCACCCACGTTTATTTAAACATAAAAGTTACACGCAGTTTAGACTGAATTCATAAACATGGGTGCTAAAGTTGTTAAGAAGTTTTGGTGTTGAAAGATTTAAGCTTCATTGAAACTCAATTAGCAATCGGAAAATTGAAAGTTATACTTTCAGGGAAACTTAGTATCACAAGTGAGTTAGTTATTAAATACAGAATACAAGGAAGAAAGGCTTTATTTAATAGGGTATTTCGAATCGAAAATTACTACTAACTAGAATCTATGTGAAATAAAACTAGGAATATTTAATTCTGTAAGGTATTCTGATTAACCTTCAGAAAGCTGTTTAATTTGAATCTAAAAGAGTAACCTTTTGAGTATCAAAACATCCCGGGTGCATAAATAAGGAATCCTGAAGCGCATCCAAGTTTTCGACTTAAATTGTTATTTACTAAATGTATATTAAAATTAATTGTAATTGATTAATTCACGTGAAAAGGAAAAATAATTTTAAGAGCATTTATATAAACTTAATTAATTTAAACTTTCTTAAAGCTTCATTTGCTTATTAGAGGGTAAAATCTTAAATAATATTCACAGTAGGTAAGTAATCTATTTTAACAATTTATGCGCTCATTTATCGTATTGTTTGTCTCTTACATGCATTTTATAACTTATAGAATCATTAAATTATTTTGATGTGGGTGACTTGAAAAATGAGCAATGCCTTCGCCGGGACTCGAACGTGCACCTCTCGAATAGCGCCGAGTGTGCTAGCTCTCGAATAGCGCCGAGTCAGCAGCCACTAAGGCATGCTGAATGGAGGGAAAATATACCTTTTAAAGGGTGACAGAGGATAAGGGGACTCAATCGTCAAATCGTGGTGCGCCATTATAGATACATTAAGTTATTTTAAGAAGGAGACATGAAAAATGATCACTGCCTCTCTGGGACTCGAAACTGGACCTCTCGAGTAGCACCCATTGTGCTACCGTTACACCACGAAGGCATGCTTAAAGAAGGGAGAAAATACCTTATAAACTTAAATTTGTTTATGTTTAAATCCTGAAAGCTGCTTCTAGAATCATTTCTAATTTATTAAGGACATTGATTTTATGCAGCACAGTGACAAGCAGAGTATTTTCTACACTTTTTTGTCAATTTATTCGTCAATTTTTCAAAACAATTTTGTTTAGAATTTCTATAAACATCTTTTTATATTTATTTGATAGAAAAGGATGGACTCGTAAAGGGCACAAATTTATGTAAGAAAGCAAAAAATAAATAAATAATAATTATACGGAATACAAAATACGCAATAGTTATACATACGAATTACGAAAAAGTTTTGAACATAAATACGCAATAATTATGCATACAAATGAATACGCAATAGTTGTACATACGAATTTATAGTTACTAATTGGAATAGATAAAACGGACAAATATGAAATTTAAAGTTATGAATTAGACAAAAGTAGGAAGCTTTATCACAAAATATAAAAATGATTGTTCAAAGATTTCTTCTATTTCTGATCAGTCCATATATTAAATTGTTTCATGTTGAGTTATTAATTTCAGTAGTCGAAAGTATATAACTCTTTCTTCAGTAACGTTTAGCAAAAATATTGTGTAATCAGATGAAAATGTTTATCATACTTGAATTTAAATTGAAATATACATCAATAGATATTAAATTCCGAATTCTATCATTTATTTTCTCTTGCCTTGAGGATACAAATTCCATTATTATATCAAAATGCATAAATATCTTTCAGTTTATTAAAGCTATTTAATAGTAATTACCTACGACAATTACTGCTTAACAGTAAAATCTTAATTCTTTCAGTTGCAATTTCGTTCCATTTTTGCTATTCCTATAGCGAAAATGGAAAATAATAACATACAATAGTAACTACAATTGTTTCATAATAACATACAGTAGTAACAACAATTGTTTCAAGAAAAGAAAGGAAAATGTAACAATTATTTGCGGATGAAAAGACAGTTTTTCTCTTCAAAGAAAGAATATTGGTTTTATAATACATCGAAAAATATAAAATTTTATTTGATATCCTCCTTTAAAATATTTTTTTACTTTATATTACATTCGATTCCCTAGCTTTGCAACTAAACAAAATCAAAATAAATACTCCTCCTTGTTATGATCAAATATGTATTTTTTGTATAAGATAAAACTTTCACGAATGTACTATTTAACTCTTCTGTAAAAGCTTGATGATACATTATAATACATTTATTTCTTTTAACACATACTTTGACGTAGTAAACAGACAATATAATCGTAAAAAGTTATTTCCCATAGCATTTCATTCTACACAGTATTAAATAAAAAATACGCAGTATCAAATCCTAGTAAGAAATAACTCTCTGTACATTTATTTCAACATGGTAAGGGAGAAACCCAAATCCGCATCATAGAGGGCGTCACGGCCAAGTAAACACGCCAAATCGTTACGCCTTGCTGACACTGAGCGTATGGCTAATATTGATATTTCACTCTTCAACCGCATATAAGTATTAATATTCGAAAGTGACGGACACCATACGTTCCCCCGCTTGTCAGTCATGCCTCCGGGCGAGGCTTATAAATATAGTTATATCAGCCAATGTATATATTTATATATTCGAAGGGCAAGGTCTGCACATGCAGCTTATTGGATTTGATATATTCCACGTGCCAAGCCTTCTAAACAGGATGCGGAGATACATAGAAAGGAATTATTCCAGAGTTAAGGATAGTACAAAGTTGTGCTGCAAAGCTGGAGAAATATATTATGTATTTTGGACTCGTACGCAACCGAGTTTTGTTTCAATAATAAATATGATGAATTTCAAAACACTAAGGTAATCAACAGCAACCAAATATTGACAACGTTAATGAAAATTTAATTACATACATTATAGATTTTTTAATTGAATTTAAAATACCAATTCAAAAATGAATTTTTGATTAAATTTGGTTGCAAACAATAAATGTAAAAGCCATTGTTTATCTATGCTTTTTTTTTATTTCGATGCATTATTTATTCTCTTAGAGGTTTTATTTTTAAACTAAATCCTGAGTTTATTTATCAGATAACAACCATTAATAAGTATTCAAGCTCTAAATTTCTAATATACAACAATTATAACAATAATAACACTTAAAAATCACTTCATTATTAATAAAAGAAATTATACAAAATTTTATGCATCATTTTTCTAAGCGCAGATATCTTATTTGTCTGTAACCAAATTGAGTGATTATACTTAAACTACATTTTCACATTGACTTTGGAAAACCAAGTGAAAAATAAACTATAGAATCCTATTATGTAAATTATCTATACTTTTTAAAAATTATTTTCGGTTTCGAAATATTAGTTCATTTCGTAAGCACAGTCTTTGATTTTTAACTGTAACCCTTGATTTTTATTAAAATTACTAGTTTAGCTAATTGCAAGCAATCGTAAATCTGAAACGTATATATACATGAAATTCTAAAATGTAAGTTCTGGTGAAGGTAACCATCATCACTTCCAAAAGAATGTACATTTAGGGAATACCTACAATCATTTAGGGAAAGTATTAAATACAGCATATAAATATGGAAATAGAATGCCAAATAATAATTTTACAGAACGTAAAAATGTTGAAAATTATATTCCTGTTTCATTCGTAAATGTGTTTTCTCCTTTATAATACTAACTCTGTAAGAAAGTTAAACTTATTAGAAAGAAAGTAATAATATTTGCGTTCACATTTTAAACTTTATATACTTTTCTTTTGTAGATCCCTATCAAATGTTTGGGCCAACAAGTAGTCGGTTAGCTACATCAGGTAAGAATAAAAACTTGTACTTTGTGTGTATATATTTATATATATTATATATAGAGAGAGAGAGGTATATATTTCTTCTTTCCCTTCTTTCTTATATATATATTTTAAGCTTGCAATGAAAACTGATGTGAGACCTACTCCTCAGCATGAATGTTGCTAGGTTTTTTTATCTAAGAAATTTTAAGCTTGCAATGAAAACTGATGTGAGACCTGCATGAGTTTTATCTACTAACTTTGTTATTAAGAAATAAAAATACTCCTCAGATATGAATTTTCATAGTCAGAATGTCATTATAAAATACTGAAAATCCAGATTCGATTTCCTATGAACATAACGAATTTTTCAAGAGATCTAGAAATCATAAAGATGCTACGATACTTTCAGAACTAAAAACTAGGCTCGATAGTTTGTCCTAAATTAGGATTCGTCGACTGGCTATCGCATCTTTCTCAAACAGCCCTTCAGTTGAAGGCGTATGAAAGAATTAAATATTCCTTCCATGCATTGCTGAGTTGTAGTAGTTAATATATCAGTCGAATAATCTGAAAATCCAGTTTTGATTGTTGGCAAGGGCACAGTAAAATTTTCAAATATTGTTTATTTTGAAACTACCAAATATACGTATAGAGGAATCCAAGTTAAAATATGTGGACAATAATTTATATCCAAATTGGATTAGTCGATTACCTATAAATTCACTGAACATCACTTCCAAACGGATTTACATAAACGTTATCAGGAAAAGAATTTATCCAGCGCATAAATATGTAAATAAAATTTCTTTTAATAATTATTCAGAACGTGATGAAATTTATATTCCTATGTGTAAATAAATATATTCATCCGTCAAGAGACGGATGTATAATATTTCCTGTAAATGTGTTTTCTCCTTTGAATTACACACCATGTACGAAAGCTAAATAAATTCTTTCGATACTGATATAAGAAATCAAAAGTATTTATTTCACGTTCTGCTAACATGTACTTAGTAGCAGATCTCAGCTCTGTACTAAGCTCTGTATCTGCTTCGCTTCCTCGAGAGAGTACAGTGAATATTTCAAGAAATTCCTCTCTCCAAAAATCCTAATGTCTTTAAATGTGAGCAATAGAGAAGAGGAAAACTCAAAGAATATAGTGAATGAAATAAGCTTACCACGTAAATTAAGATTTTCCCCCCCATTCAGAACAGTCAGTGAAGAGTCTACAGTGGCTACTTTCTCATGCTGAGCTGCTAGAAATTAGCCCTGCATTAACAGTGCTGTCCTATTAGTGTCATTTAATCAAACATCTTATGCCAGGGCACTAATATGTTCAATCATACGAATGTTCATAAAGCAAGAAGCTTTTAACCAACACCAAGTATATCATCTGATACAATTATCTGGTAATTCTGTAGTCTGCACCTGAAGTTAAACTTTACTTCAAATTCCAATTTTGAATGTGTATCTTACTAAAAACGAAAACATTTGAAAAGATAATTTAAATTTTAAAAATCACACATCTAGTTTAACTCACCAAAATTCACACGAACAAGCTTCTTGGCTTTTATCTTGAAAATGTTAAGTCGATTACTTATGAGACTTAAGTTCGGTTACATGAGTTACAGTAATATTGCTATTAGTCGAATTTGTCTAATAAATATCAGTTTACAAATGCTGGTATCAAATAATCTTTGAAGTTTGGCGACGAAGTCTTTTGTTAGAGAATTCTGCGAATTATTTGCTGTCTAAAAATAAAATTAGCAGTATTTCGAGTTATCTTGTCCTGCTCATGGTAGATTGTAGAATAAGAACGACTCAGTTTGATTTCAGAAGACAGATATGTTTGGAAAAGATAAAAGACTAATAAAATACTCCTAAATTTCGTTCGCTGCCATGTCAGGTATTATTTTTGTAGATTATGATCTTTATCGTACATATTTGAAAATGTAAACAAATAAACCAATTTTGTTTTTTATACAGCTTTCATAATGCTGTTGCAGTGAAAAGGAATAATAAATTTTGTAAATAAGAATAATATGCTCTATTCCTTCAAATGAATTTCTAAACGAAGAAACTAATGATAAAGCGAACAAAAATTGATATATATTAAAATGAAATATTAAGCCCTAACAAATAAAAATATAAAAAGCATATCTAAAGCTTATAGGCAATATGAACAATAATAGTAAATATTATCGTTGAAGAAAGAGAGTAATTTAAAACAAGGTGAATTTTCTACGTTACATTCTGTTTTAACTATAATTTGACATTTAACTATACATGAATTATAAATGAATTTTTCAATTTTATGAAATGAATTATGAAATATTGTTTAGAGTGGTCAACAAAAAATCCAGCTCAAGGAATTTTTTTTCCAATTAAACTATTTTCTAAATCATGTTCTCCGTTATGGAATGAGTATATGTACATACGTATTAGCAGAAAACAAATGAAAAAATACTCTTTATGTGTTAATACTCATTATATGGTATATGATAAGAATATGTGTTCAATAAGATGTGAGTTAGACTATGAATTTTTTAATGTACGTCTTCATTTCTAATTCAGTGAGCTCTTTGAAGTCACTTCAAATGACATCCTGAACAAAAGTCAAGCATCTAGAGTCAAAGAAGACGGTCGTCGCCATGTTCAACCTTCTATTATACAAGTCACATATCTCTAATGCTTCTTAGTAATCGCTCCCCTTCGCTAAGCCTAAAAGTACCCACAAAATGAAAAGATCCTTCTGCAGATAACCCCCTCCTCCTTCCTGGATTCCTTTGTCTTATCTTCTGCCGAAAGAAGAGGGAGGAGGGCAGACCAGCCTGATGGCTGCTAATTGTCTCTACGTGTCGTCACGTGTCCTGCCTTCGTGATGTTGCCGCAATTTTCGCTCTGCTTGGTGTCATTAGGCTTAAGCTCCACTCGTCCACCCCCACTGAGTGTCCTCTCTTGTTGAGATTCGGCTTGGATGAGACAGAGTGGAGGGATTGAGTGAAAGAGAGGTTTGGTATACGCATTAAAAGGTCAAGGGGGTAGCGAGGGGAAAGTGGCTGAAGTGCAGTGTAGGGAAAAGCGTATTTAAAAGGTCAGTTTGAAGGGAAAATACCTTAGCCTACACAAGCAGAAAAATTGCTTGTTTCAATAAAACTGGAGCTTTACAAGTTTATGAAAGTTGTACAACTTTGTAAGTCTCAGTGTCCTTTTACTGAACTGCAGTGTATATTGCATACTTGAAGTTTAAAGCTGAATACATTAAATTAATAATTTCAGTAGATTAATTTTAGTTTAATATATGTAGTTAAATTACCCAAATAATAATATTGGAAAATTACTCGAAAAGGGCATCTAAATAGTTATTATTTCAAACTACCAAATTTACCTTAAATTAATTTCGATTTTTTGAAACTTTGCATAGTTAGGTGAACGTTTCAAAATTTGGAAGTTTACCTAACTGTGAATTATTCAAAATTATATTCATTTCGACATATATTCAAAGTATACAAGCATGACTCTTTGCATACATTGAATGTGTATCGAAGTGAACTTACCGACTATTCGATTTATGATATAGTATACAGCATCTATATATCTATTAAACTTTTGTTTATTGATCGCATCTGATAAGAAGAAAACTAATGATGACCTTTTAATACATTCCCGCTTCTCATATCCTTCATGGGTTAAATCTCCATGTCTAAAAATTGTCGAATAAAATAAATCTTAAATTTCAGTGAATCAACTCTCGAGTATTAACATTTCTGAACTGAGATCTATTATAGATAGAATGAGCTGCCTGTACGGACTTTTCTTGTTATTTCATCTCTTAATATAAGTTAAAATACCCTTAGAAATTCAAAACATCATCATATTCCTTGCTATATTTGTATTAGCCAACCACGAGAAGAATGTTTAAATATATGCAATTAAAATCTGCCATGAACAAAACGTTAAAGCAACTATAGTTGATGGAGAGCATGTCAAAATTCATGTAAATAAACAGTATGGTTTTCATAAGTGATATGATTTGACATATAAAATAATATCATTTATTTTCTTTGTCATGATGATTCGTTATTTATGATTCTGTTGTTTTTTTAGGAAGTGGCCAGATACAACTGTGGCAGTTTTTGTTGGAGCTACTATCAGACAGTAGTAATGCAAATTGCATCACTTGGGAAGGGACTAATGGTGAATTTAAACTCACTGACCCAGATGAAGTGGCTAGACGTTGGGGTGAACGTAAAAGCAAACCCAATATGAATTACGACAAATTAAGTAGAGCCTTGCGATATTATTACGATAAAAACATCATGACCAAAGTTCATGGAAAACGTTATGCTTATAAATTTGACTTCCAAGGTCTTGCACAGGCTACACAACCCACCGCAGCTGACCCAACCTATAAATACCAGTCAGATCTCTTTATGTCAGGCTACCATCACAGTCCAAAACTGAACTTTGTCGGAGCTCATACCGGAATCCCGTCGACTACTGGCAGTATATTTCCTGCTCCTACCTCATACTGGACCAATCCGAGTGCCAATTTGTATTCGAACATTGCTGCAGCGTCCACTCACACCATGCCCCATCACCCTGGTCACGTAACATCCCACATTGGATCTTATCCTCACTATGCATGACGTCATGATCCATGCCGTATGTCGGTTACATCATCCGATTGGGTGCTGGCGGTTGAGCCCTTTCAATGATGAAATCTGAGCTATTTGCTGCAGATATCACTTGATGAAGAAAAGGTTCTGGGCAACTGAGTCTGTATGTCTCAAGTCGTACGTTCACTTCAATGTTTATTTTACCAGAAAGGATAATGATATCTGAACCACCAGATGCCAAAATATAATCACATTTATTCAAATAATTGTAAAGTTTTATCCCCGATGGCCTTCAAGGTCAAGACAGATGTACAGTTGTTGAAGAATTTCATAGTATCATTAATGACTTGGAAGATAATTCTGTACCTGGTTAAAGGCAAACAACGATTTCCTTTGATAATAAACTTCCAGTAGAATACAAGTGAATGAAACTATGGCTACGAAGCAAGAATGTATGTAAATAAATTATCATTGCAGCAGCTGGTAGAAGAATAAAGATTAACTGACTTGAACAGATATGAAAGCATTTAAACACTGACCTCCGTAAAATTTGTTTAAATTGTAAAAAATGGGAACTGTTTGAAGAAATGTTATCAAATCACTCTTTTGAGGATTTAATAAGCATAAAAGTGTTGTAAAATTAAGTGCTTCTTTTTGGTCCATAATTATATTTGATTTTAAAGTGTCAAATATAATTTTATAAAATGATTTGTCTTTATAATGCTTTTTAAGTAATTATGTTATTTTACTCTGAATATAAGTTAATAAAACATTTAAATATTAAGACGTTTAGAGACGTAAAACATTAAGATGTTTGACATTAAGACATTTAAGGATTAGGTTAATAAAAAAAAAATCAAGAATTACGTAAGTTGATCCTTAGTTACATTTTTGTGAAGTCTGATTAACTATTTTCCTAGTTCACTTCTAATCCAAATGGAATTCTTATGAATTTAGAAATCACCTAAATTGTTTCTATAATCCACATAGCAAGGTAATGAGTAAATATTAATATAACTACATCAACTTGTATATATCTAATTACTTTATACCCCGAAAAAAACTGAAAATAGGCTTTTAAAAGATTTGCCTTGTGATAAAACAAATACTAATTCATAAAATCAGAAAATAAAACAATGCAAGTGATATTTATATTAATTAAACAAATTGCTAAAGAATATAGCAATATTTATTTAATTTAATTTAGAGTATCAGTTAGTACTCCTACTTGCTATAAACTACTAATTTTAAACATTTATTTATTGAAAAAATAATATCTCTTCATTAAAACATAACATTTCATTTTTATGCCTTATCGTCTTCTTATAAAAAACTTGTAAGCTCGTGAAAAATCTTTTTCTACGGTAATTAGTCAGTTATTTAGATTTTAAATGAGCAATAAATTAAAAATTACGCTTACCTCTTGTAAATAATTATTTCATTTAAAACGTATGATCTAAGTCTTAAAATAAAAATAAAAATTTCTCATTTAAAAATAAAATGTTTTTGAAGTTACCTTTCTTTGGTAATTTTTTGTTATTTTTTTAAAAGAAAATCTGAAGTATTTGCATAAACGCATAATAGGTTACTTTAAATGTAGACTTAAAAATCAACAAACTGTTAAATCTGTTATTTCTTTTCTTTAAATAGCTTTCTTTTGACTTCCTTTTTCGTTAGAATGCCTCCAATTCAGTCCTCTACAATGCCTTTTAGAAAACTAATTTCTCAGGTGAGGCTGACTTACAGTGCAAGTTTACAACCAAATAAATTATTAAAATTAATTTAGACCATTCGTTCATTTACATAGTTAAATAGAAAAAAGTTATTATTAGCCTGTTATAATACAATAAATATACTTATACTTGGCCAGTGTGAACAATTTCTCCTAACCACTTGCTACTCGAGACTATTCAAATTGCTAGTCATACTTCCACTTTACTGAGGCACTTTCATTGCGCCTCAGCAGCTCATTCTGTTCTAGAAAAGATTGCTCGACTTTAGACAAAAGTCAGTATAGGCTAAAGTTAAAAATAAAAATCTGACTTAAAAATGAAATATTCTTGTACCTTCTAAAAATAATATCTATGACTTAAGGATTAATATTTATTACTTTCGACTTCGTGTGCATTTTATATTTACATGCCTTCTTATGATAAATTAAATTGCTAATATCTGAAAGATATAACAGTGATAATTTTTTAAGAAATTTCATTTAAATTAATACAAAGAAGATATTTACTTTATTTACGTGTTTTGTGTCAAATACATCGAATTTTGTTTTTAATTTTGAGCTTGGTTTGGATTATTCTAGTCAATATGTACTTTGTTTATTTCTTAGGAAATGATTTTAATATATCAGTACGAGACACTTATGTAATATATGGTATAATAAAATGATTTGAAATGTTCCAAAGTTTTCTTTCTTTTTCACCTCCTTACTCTATTTAGTACTAAAAGTATTTTTAAGAAGTTTTGCAATTTCGTTGAATTTTATTTAGTGCAAACGAAGAACAGATATCTAAAAAAATATGTTCACGTCAGTGTATGGTGGTTGAAAAATATCCACATTTTTGTGTAAGTAATTAGATAAATTTCATGATTTAACTTAACAATTAAATATTCCAAAGTCAACTTATTTTTAGCACAATTGATTTAAAATTTCATTGCCGAAACACCTATATAAATAACTGTATACATTTATAACATAGTGTAAGCAATGAAACCTATTATTTACATGATGTTTTTAGGATAAAAGTTTACAATATTTCATTGCAAAAGATGTACTTACTTGCTTATAGCGTACAAACAAGGTAAGGCAAGGGAAGTTCTGTAAAACAAAATGATTAAGTATATAATGCTCCAAATGAAAATTCGATAAGCATAAATGTAACGTAAAGATACTAAAGGAAATTTGACGGTGAAACCAAAGGGGCGAGGTAAAAACTCAAAATGGCATCGAAGGTAAAAGTAAATACTTTTAATCACGAACAGTAACGATAATTGCTCGAAAGAGCAACCGCCAGGACACAATAGTGATGGAAGGACTTACTAACTACCTATAGCTCATTAAAATCTACATCTACAGTACCACCGAAATTCTGGTGAGTTCTTCATCATACAAGGGGATATTTAGATGCCTCTTGAAAAAGAAACCGAGTGATGGTAGATGGGGCGAACTCGCGGAAACCAACAACCTAGAAAGGTGATACCCAGGTATTTCCAAAAGTGTTCTCAAAAACGGACTTGTTCTCCATTGAACTGAAACATATACACCACCAGATGCCTACCAGAGATTCTTCACCAATTCTAGGAAGACTTCTTGCGGGAATATAAGGTACGTTCCTCATAGAGTCGGTAAGCGCATATCGTCTTTCTTACCAGTCATGTACTTGTTCATCTTAGATGTTGGAGCTACAAGGCATTCATGAGTGGTTGAGAATTGTGATACTTTTCATTTTCTGAAAACAGCTTGAAAAGAATGAAATTGTCTGAAGGCGCATTGCTGTGCAGTAGAAACCAGTTGTTTAATCGGTTCTCTTCAAGCCTAATGTGCTGAAATTCTCTTTGGACGTTTGTCCATTACGTCTTCATAAAATATGCAGTTAATTCTCTGCGTTCAGAAATTGACTGTGAGTTATCCTTTTCCCATCGAAACGCCTTCAATAGTCTTTACTGAAATGAACGTTCCTGTGACTTTCAATCAAAGCAACAAGTTTCATTTCTACTCAAAAGTAACAATAAAAATCAGCTCAACTCTCGAAGACAGCAAATCCATAACAGCATACCTTCACTAAATCAAAGCAAACTATAAACTTCATAGAAAATTCTGTTCGTAAACAGGTTATATTTTCAACAAAACAAGTTTACATATTACAGTAATAACTGCTTCAGTTATCTTTTGGCAGATTAATTTGGAGTTTATTGAAAATATCATTTACTGAATTAAATTAACTTTGCAGACGTACTATGATTTCATGCTATTAGCAAAATATTATTTTTTAGTAAGCACAGCATTTTTAATTGAGTGTCAGGTAACTGTTAAAACTTTTATTTTTATATAGGACAGTTTTATAGCCAAAATGTCAAAAATGATTGGAAAATATGTTACACGTTTCATCCGCTAAATTTTTTATGTTTATAGCCATAGCTGTAAAACCCAATGCATTGGGTTATTGCCCTATAATTATGCACCTGAGATACTACAAAGTAAAAAACATACAGCAGGGGCAAAGGTTTGTCATGCAATCTCATGTTAAAAGAAAGTTTATTTATACTGGCGGAACTGGCACTGAAAGTTAAGAGTTCAAATTTCAATAAATTTGATTTGTCACAGTAATTACATCTGAAATGAAGCTTTAAGAACAATTTTGGATTCATTCCTATCATAAAACTCTTGTATCCTTTCCATATTAAGCGAAGAATTTAAAACTTTAACGAGATGTTCATATACTTTTAAATAATATAGCATTCTAAAATGTATTATTTTGCCCTTAATTAATTGATTAATAGCTTTCATATAATAAACCTGAAGAGTCCAGGTGGGTTAACTTCTATCTGTATACTGGAGTAGCAGGAAAGTACACAGGAGAAAGGGTTCACGTACCCTTTATCAACTCTTTAAAATTTACAATGCGTCAACTCGACGCTAACAAATTTCGCCTCTACTTGGGAGGTAACTGAAAGTCAGATAATTGAAATATTAACAAGTAATAAAACTAGCCTACAGGGCTCATCGAGATCCCAAACTTCAAGACCCTTCTAAGCTAGTGGCAGCAAAGCAATGTAATTTAGCCACTTGAACCAGTAATAATGAAAAGTACCTACGGCAGAGACGGCAGCTAGAGCCTAACTCTCTCTTTTTTCCCTACCGAAACTCGGCTTTTAACTACTTGCTTCTAAGTAGAAAATTTGCATTCGTTCACGCGCGCTACAACATTTAACTATTCTCGCACTGACAATTAGGGGAATGAAGGCTTATAGGCCTTCATTCTCCTAATTGTCAGTGCCCCGTTCCCCTAATTGTAAATGAAGGCCGAATCTTGTAGTTTTGAGCAATTTCGAATAGCTTATCTCTACTTTGCTAATTTGCTATTCCAGTGTTACTACTATTAATCAAAGTTGATACTGTTTTGTTCGTTACGTATTTACTCGAATGCTAAAAAGCAGCATGCGGAAGTTATTTGTCAATCCGAAAAAGAGGATGCTGGTTTGATTCCTAACCAAAGCTAGTGTTCTTGCTTGATTGCTATACTGTAAGTTTTGTTTTCCTCGACTAGTAAACTTTGACGTCACTAGTTTTGTCTGACGTTATTTGTTGGATGCAATAAACGAAGATACAAAGTCATATCTTCTTTTCTCTCTTTTATGTAAATGAAATGACGTCATTGAACTTGAGTATTGGAAGAGCCTGACATTGTCAATCTATTGACCTTTTTCTTGTCATCTTGTCTCTCTTCGCTTGTGGATGCTCTTCGCATTTTGGTAAATCCTCCTAAACGACAGTTTGATAATTTCACTTTGATTAGAATAGTTATGATCAAGGCATAAATGTTGTTGTTGGTTGAGGTAGATAATGAGCGAAATTCATGAAGCATTGGAGCATTGGAGGTTTGAGGTCTACATTAAAACCTCCACGAGAATTTTCGCAATAGAGGATCAATCTCAATTGAGCAAATGATATACCAGAATCGCTAGGTATCAGTACACATAATTAGTCTATGCCTTAGAAAACATTATATTATATACGTTTTTGATTAGAACATACATTTATAAACTTCTACAAATGCAATTGAGGCCATTCTATTAAATAAAAAAAGCAATTCAAGCAAGTGATACTTTTATGTATAGTGTTGCCCATGCACAGATGTTCTTCATTAAGTAGTACGTTTTTAAATTCAGAAGAAAAAGAAACATCCAGCAATGAAATTATTTGTCAGTATAGACAAACAATGTATGATGACTATACTAACTTTGATAAGTAAATTTTGTCTCCCATTTTGAAAGTCTAACAAAACGAAAGTTTCAAATTCTAGTTTGGATTTCGAAGTAAATTTCTAATTCAACGACCTTTCGGAGCCCATTCTGAAATACAATCATTTCAATCTAAAAACTTAAGTATTAAAATCATTCAAATCTAAAAACGTAAGTATTAAAATCATTTAAATCTAAAAACGTAAGTATTAAAATCATTTAAATCTAAAAACGTAAGTATTAAAATCATTTAAATCTAAAAATATCTAAAGATGATAACAGGAAAAAATATAATTGCAGAAAAATAGAACTTTGTAAATTTATTCGATGCCTGTGAAAATATTTGTTATTTGCAAAATCTCAGTAACTGCCCTAGACTTGAGTATTGGATAGAAAATATTCGTGTAAATTCGTGTCGCAGTAACATTATAACCCTACTTTTGGCCTATTGGTTCAACCACGGTTCCCATTGGATGCTTAATCAGCAAGGATACGGATCTGAGGAAAAGTCGCTAACTATGCCACTGCCACATTTGATTATGTCCGATAAGAATCCTAAATTAAAAAATTTCCTTAGCTTTAAAAAGAAATATAAGAAATGGGTTGCAGTTTCTGCAGCATGTTGGTAACTTAATCATCAGAAAAAGGGAGATCTTTGATTCTAGCTTTTGATTTTTACAGAGCCCAGTTAATTTTCCTAAATGAATGATTTCTTAAAAGCAGTAATGATATTCCCACTTGTAAAATTATTTTCTTTTCTTAAGGTTATTTTTTGAAATGAGAAATCTTAAAGTCTTTCCAAAATTTTTGGAGCGTTATCATTTACCGTTTGGCTAACGTTGCCATAGCAACACATTGACTATCTCACACCAGAGACTGAAAACTCATCCTAGGTCAAGAATGACCTCGGCAGTGGGTGACCATGGATTTGTTGATCCGCAAGTACCTCCGTTATAATCAACAGTTTTCTCAAATTTCATGTAAATTTAACTATTTATGTTAATTCCTAACGCTGTCTCCCAACAATAACCTAAGTTTACAGTCAGTAACCATAAATCACCGGAAACTTACAGGTAAGATGGATGCAAATGTTTTTTTGGTTTCATTTTATTTTTAAAATTTATTCAAATTTTAGTGCTCTACACTTATTATTTATGCGCTGATCTCCACTGACCTTCAACTCTTAGGCCACTAGTTATCAATAGTGTTGACGAACATTAGAGGACATTATTTTCATTTTCATTAAAAATATATATACATAAATTTATTGCACTGCCCCAACCGTGGTCTCGGTTGACTACTGATCCTGAATTGCACTGTCCACACTTCTGACCAACGGACTGAACGCTATCAGTGACCATAAACTTGTCAGTCACTGACAACGAGCAG